CCAGTATGTAGAGAAGCCATCGGCCTCAAACAAAGTTCATTTGATGAGGCGATTATTCAATTGCGGATGACGGAAGGGGCATCGGTGGCACCCCTAAATGACTCAACACAATCACAACCAGTTGAGTTCAGTGGAAATTGAATTCGATGATGAAGTTCGAGCTTTAATTCTCTTATCATCTCTACAGACAGTTGGAATGCTACTGTTACAGCAGTCAGCAGTTCGTCGGGAAACAGCAAATTAAAATTCGACGATGTTCGGGATCTGGTACTGAGCGAAGAAATTCGACGGAAGAAATCGGGTGAAGCATCAACCTCCTCAGCCTTGCACACGGAGTCTAGAGGGAGAACTTCAGAAAGAAATTCAATCGTGGCAGATCGAAATCCAGAAGGGGAAAATCAAGAACAGGAAATAAAGATTTTACCTGTTATAATTGCGGCAAGAAGGGTCACTTCAAAAGAGATTGCCGAGCACCGAAGAAAAATACCGGCGCACAGGAATCTGCAACATGACGGAGGAGACGGTGATGCCATGATTCTAAGCGTCAACAGTCCGATTGAATCATGGATCTTGGATTCAGGGGCATCTTTCCACTCCACCCCATGCCAAGAAATCATGGAGAACTATGTCAGTGGTGATTTGGGAAGGTTCATCTTGCTGATGATGAAACCTTGAAGATTGTCGGAAAAGGAGATATCCGACTAAAGCTGCCAACCAGACCACCTGGAAGCTGACAGGAGTGAGACATATTCCTGGCCCTCAAAGAAATCTGATTTCTGTTGGACAGCTTGATGGAGAATACAGTACAACCTTTTCAGGCTGTGAATGGAAGATTACAAAGGAGCACTCATCATTGCTCGTGGTAAGAAGACTGGTACTCTCTATGTAACCTCAAATTTAGAGAATATCATTGCAGTAGCAGATGCTGAGGAAAATCAAACCTATGGCACCAAAGCTTGGCCATATGAGCGAGAAAGGAATGAAGATACTTCTGTCAAAAGGGAAGCTGCCGGATCTAAAAGTGGATGTCGGACTATGCAAGGATTGCATCTTTGGCAAACAAAAGAAAGTCAGTTTTGCAAAGATTGGCAAGACACCCAAGGCAGAAAGGTTAGAATTGGTTCATACTGATGTATGGGCATCCCCAGTTCCATCTCTTGCAGGCTCACTATATTATGTCACCTTCATCGATGATTCAAGGAAGGTGTGGGTTTATTTTCTGAAGAAGAAATCAGAAGTCTTTGATACCTTCAGAAAATGGAAGGCCATGGTGGAAAATGAGACTGGTTTGAAAGTCAAGAGGTTGAGGTCTGACATGGAGGAGAGTACAGAGACAGTAGATTCAGAGATTTCTGCGCAAACAATGGGATTAAGATGGAGAAACAGTTCCCATAACCGCAACAGAATGGCGTAGCAGAGCGCATGAACAGAACTCTGAATGAACGTGCTAGAAGCTGAGGATACATGCGGATTGCCCAAATTTCTATGGGCTGAAGCTATCAACACTGCAGCTACCTGATCAACCGTGGGCCCTCTGTTCCTTTGGATGGCGGAATACCAGAGGAAGCTTGGAGCAAGAAAGAATAAACCTTTCATACTTAGAGTGTTTGGTTGTATTTCTTATGTACACATAGACTCTGCTGAAAGAAGTAAACTTGATGCTAAGTCCAACAAATGTGCCTTTGTTGGTTATGGCGGTGATGAGTTCGGTTACCGGTTTTGGGACTACGAAAATCGAAAGATCATCAGAAGCAGAGACGTCATTTTCAATGAAAATGTGATGTACAAAGACAGGTCAAACCGCAGAATCAAGTAATACCGAGGCTGAAACAAAGGAATTTGCTGAGTTCGAGGAGATTTCTGAAAATGATGTTCAGATCAGTCCTGAAGCAGTTCAAGAGGAAGAACCAGGTACACCAGAACTGAGACGCTCCTCCAGAATTCCTAAACCAACCCAACGGTATTCGCCTTCTTTGCACTACTTGTTGCTGACTGACAATGGTGAACCAGAGTGCTATGATGAAGCCATGCAGGTGGAGGATTCAGTCAAGTGGGTCTTCCATGAAAGATGAGATGGACTCGCTTATGTCAAATCAGACGTGGGAATTAGCTGAATTACCACCAGGCAAGAGAGCGCTCCATAACAAGTGGATTTACAGGATCAAAAAGCACGATGGGAGCAAACGCTACAAAGCAAGATTGGTATCAAAGGTTTTCAGCAAAAAGAAGGTATTGACTACAATGAAATTTCTCTCCAGTCGTAAAACTGTCTACAATCAGACTGGTGTTGAAAATTGTAGTTGCAGAAAATTTACATCTTGAGCAGTTAGATGTAAAGACAGCTTTCCTTCATGGTGATTTGGAGGAAGAAATCTATATGAGGCAGCCAGAAGGCTTCATAGAGGCAGGCAAGAAAAACCTGGTATGCAGGTGAAGAGCTTGTATGGTTTAAAACAAGCTCCTAGACAGTGGTACAAGAAGTTCGATAGTTTCATGGGTAGTAGTGGTTTTACCAGATGCCAAGCAGATCATTGTTGTACATCAAGAGGTTCGACAACAGCTTCATTATTTTATTATTGTACGTTGATGACATGCTCGTTGCAGGCTCAAACATGCGAGATTATACACTTAAAGCAAAAATTGTCGAAGCAGTTTGCTATGAAGGATCTGGGCGCTGCAAAGCAGATTCTTGGATGAGGATCAAGAGAGACACAAAGTCGGGGACTTGATGTTATCACAGGCTGAGTACATCAACAAAGTACTCTCCAGATTCAACATGCAAGATTCTAAACCAGTAAGTACACCTTTAGGTGTTCATTTCAGACTCTCCAAAGAACAGTCACCAAAGACGGAGGAAGACGTGCACACATGGTGAAGGTGCCGTATGCCTCAGCAATTGGAAGTCTGATGTATGCCATGGTTTGTACCAGACCAGATATTGCTCAAGCAGTGGGAGCTGTTAGCAGTACATGAATAATCCAGGCAAAATACACTGGGAGCAGTCAAATGGATCCTCAGATATCTGCGAGGTACCACAAACAAAGCACTTTGTTTCAAAGGTGGATACGATACTGACAGGCTATGTAGATGCTGACTTAGCCGGAAATGTTGACATCAGAAGAAGCACTACAGGGTATGCTATACTCTAGGAGGAACCGCAGTGAGTTGGGTTTCTCAACTACAGAAGATAGTTGCTCTCTCTACAACCGAAGCAGAATATGTCGCTGTTACGGAAGCCAGCAAGGAGATGTTTGGCTCCAAAGTTTCTTGGAAGAGTTAGGCAAGAAACAAGAAAACATGTCTTGTATTGCGACAGTCAAGTGCTATCCATCTAGCGAAGAATCCGTCTTTTCATTCCAGGACGAAGCACATACAATTGCGATATCATTTTATCCGGTCTCTTCTGGAAGATGGGATTTTGAAACTTGAAAAGATCAGTGGAGCTCAAAATCCAGCAGACATGTTGACAAAGACGGTGACCACGGACAAACTGAAGTTGTGTTCAACTTCAGTTGGCATGCTAGAGTAACAAGACTAGAAAAGCTGCTGCATCGATCGAGGTGTGAAGATAGATTAAAATCAGTCTTCAAGTGGGAGATTGTTGGTCAAATATGAATACTAGCAGCCGGTGGCTGCTTGATATTCAAAGGTGGGGGGGCTGCTAAAACAAATTGGGGAGGGGGGCTGCCCAAAATATTTTTATTTTTAATTACAATATTAGTCCCTAAGTTTTAACTATAAATACCCTAGCTCATTTAGCTTCAAAATCATCCCAAAATCTTCTAGTTCTCTCTCAAGTGTGTTGTGTAAACACCTGTAAATTTTATCTTAGTAAAAGATCTGCAGCAGCCCGGAGACGTAAGCACAATTGGCTGAACTCCGTTATCAATTTCGGGTATTATTTTTCCGCTTTTATTTCGCATTCTTACAAATCTGGTTATAGGGAAATTACTCGTACTCGGTTTATTTCCTAACAGATGAAGTTTGGGTCCGTTACAATTTTGATTAATTCCATTTCATCCCAAGGAATCGTTCCGTCCATCCACAAAAAAATTAACATTTTTTCAGAATTTTTTCTTATTTTTGTTTGGCGTGATTCTCATAAAGAAAGATCGTTATCCACGAAAATAATTTTTAGTTAAAAATTATGGCATCCTCATCATTTTGTAAATATTTATCATTTCCGATCAAATCGGACATATTGTTTTAAATGAGTTTTTTTTGTTCGGCACGTCTCCTTGGTAACATTTATCCATTTGGTAACTGGGGTCTGGGCCTGGCCTTAGGGAAACTCGAAAAGGTTATAGACAAGATGGCATCGGATGTTTTGGGCTGAGCAGCTGCAAATTGAGGAAGTGAACTGAAAGGTGGTTGCTCTAACTCCACAAGGACGTTCCAAAGGCGGCGAAGTTCTACTCACAAGGACTCGACGTCTCCGTCAACATCTGCACGCTTCGGTGGGCCGAGCTTCAGTCTGGTCCTCTCAAGCTTGCTCTAAGCAATCCCCTGGTACTACTTCAACATTATTGCTTTTACCGGCATGGAAATTTAATTAAGTTTCTCTGATGATTTTGAACTTGGTTAGAGATGCACAAAATGAATAAGATTGTGGGTAGTCCCAGATTTACTGAGAGTAAAAGCTGTGTTGAAAATAGATAATTCTGACACAGTTTTGTTTGCCAGTGATAATGCGATCCAGAATGGTTACTCTTCAGTTTATCATTCACAGTGAGTATTAATAGTACAGTAACAAAACTAATGACATTAGGAGCTGAACTAGATGGTCCCATCAAATATGAAATCCATGGCAGGGTATTAACTCCATTATCTCTTCATCCCTGATATTCTTATGCTTAGCTTGATAGTGAACTGAAGCTGCCAGTCTGAATTTCATCATTATTTTCAGGTTGCCGCCATGCGTTGCGTTGATGGTCACATGGTTGGCCTTTATGAACCAGCATAAAATGTTCTAGAGATGCCCCTTCAACAGAGTGACCGATTTGCTGTCGAAATCAATTGAAGACATGAGAAACTTTTCCCTTCTTTGGATTTCCTTCAATTATTGTAAGTGTTTTTTTCATCCAAATCATTACAGCCGTGCTGAGTGTATAAAGAGTTGGACCCGAAGTAATACCATAAGATTAAGTTAGTTACAAATACCGTTGAATAGAAGCTGCTCTACATTTCCATCATTCAATTTTTACCTGTCATATAGATGGGGTACTTTGTATCTTCTGTATCTCCTAGAAGAGACATGAAATCAGTTTTTGATCCTTGTGGTAGAACAGCTGCTCTTTTTTGCCTGCTTATTGAGTTCTCGTCATGTACCTTTATTGCAAAACATTTATTTCAGTTCAATGCATCTGCAATTCTGCATTCATCATATGGAAAGCTTTTCACTGCTATTCCTTGTAAGTCGATTGGCGAAAATGACAATTTTGAGATTCAGTCAGTGGACATTTGTAAATCTAGCTGTAAGAGAGTATAAGCTCTAATGAACTGAATGTGACACTTGGCTTGACACTTAAGGTGGTGGGAGGTACTCTTGCCCTGACATGGTGATACAAGGAAATTCTGGTAGCTAGGGACTAGGCCAAGTAGGAGAATTAAGGGGGGGGAATAACTCTCAAACAAAGCACCGAATCGGAAAAAAGGGAAATTACAAAAATAGAGAGGAAGAGGGAATGAATGGGTGTGTAATTTCTTGAAAATCATCAGATGATGAGTACAGATATGGTCTAAACAGTTTATTCATACTTATACTGAATGAAAGAGAACTGCAATAACTAACCTTCCCACCAACTGTTAACTGCTAATACAGACTTTCCTAACAACCTGAAACTTACAACTGACATCAACAGTCATCTAAGCTGATCACATGGATTCCTTCTCATATATGTTCTATTGTTTACCTGCTGAACCTGAAGATGGAGATACATGTTTGCATGGAAAAATGGTGGTGTTCCAACCTCATGAACTGAAACTCGCATCTTGATGCAGTTTCTACATCAAGATCATGCGCCTCTGTATATCGATTAAATTGTACTGTGTCCTACAGAAACTTCTGCTGAGCGTATTCTCTGAAGTCAATCCATCTATCACTACCTTAAAGACCAGGCTGATATCAAATTTCATCAGATACAGAAACAAACATTAGAGGATCTTACAGCTAATGCATCTGTGATGCTACTTGCTTCGAGAAGGTCCCTAGAGATGAAGTTCCTTCCAATGCCAGCTGGTACAATCTCAGCTTCAGCAAGGGGCACTGAATTCAATGTGAATGCCTAAGGTATGCATGAAGGAAATATCAGATTTCATTGAATTGACAATCATGTTTATCTTTTCTTTTCTTTTCTTTTCTATAAACAATCATATGCATGAAGAAATTTTACCAGTCCGACTGTTAAATCCAAAAGCACAACTCGGAAGCTCTCCTGCATATGTGTAAGCTATGAAGGATAATCCATTTGACAGTTTTCCTTTGATCAAGTAGCTGCGAACCCAACATAGAAATGGTACATGTTATGAATATTGATTTTTAAACATATTGCACTCCGTCCTAGAATCTGAACAGGATACAGGAAGCTAAACCATACTTGTGACCGACTAGAGAAACGTTTGCATCCTCGTTATGAGCTGCAATGGCCATCGAACACTAACAAGAACATCAACAGTCATCTGCAGTATCAGCATTTGAATTCATTGCTGTTTTTGAAATGAATGGGAGTATCTCCTTTCTGAGTTGGTAAGTATTATCTGCACACCAAGGAAATATAGTGCGACTTAATCAATGCAGGAGTGTATTGATCAAATTTACAGTTTGTAATAACTACATCAAGAATCGGCATGCCGCTTCCTTCTGCAGTCCCTAAAAGTTCATCCCAGTATCTTGGGAACTTGTTCTGGTTAGTTTCCGAGAGTGCTTTAATCAGCGGCTGTGCTTGTTAGGTTTGAGCAAAAGGAAGGAGCTGGTTTTGAAGAATGAGGTCTCCGGCCAACCTGCTTCTTATCTGATTACGGAACCTTTCGCCTATGAGAAAACCCAGATGGTAGTCATCTTCACAAGGCCCAACCTCAAACATCTCCAGCATTTTCCCTTCCATGCGCATTGCTCAAGTTCCCAGACCTTGTGGCTGAAGTCGTGTTTACATTAGAGATGTATATCTTATCCCTTGACCCGAATGAGAAGTTCTAAAGTGCGGCACTGTTAATATATGACTAATAAAAGATGCTATCGGTTTTGTTATTATTTTTTTAACAAAACTGGTAAAAACTTATCTATAACATTATTATTTCTACCTAAAATATTAATATTTTTTAACAATTCCGGTAAAGTGTCCAATAATAACAAAATCGGTAGAAAAAATAAAACCGGTAGTTTTTACCGGATTTGTTAATAAAACCGGTAAAGCGCTCAATAATAATAAAATCGGTAAAAATAATAATGTTTTCAGTAATTTTTTATCGATTTTATTAAAAAAATAATAAAATTGATAGCATTTTTTTAACTATATATTAAGGGTGCTGAGGGTGCTGCTCGTGATTATCTCCCCCGAAGAATGGCTGTGCTTGAGCCCCAATGTTTCAGGGAATGTCTCAGGAAAGGCGGGTTAATATACGGCTAATATACAGCATTACCGGATACATTAAAATGTATTTAATAAATTCGGTTTAGCGGTACCTATTATGTTGACAACTAATAATGTTTTAGGTAGAAAATATGAAAAACTATTAAAAAATTTGGTAACCGGTAAACTTTGGTTATCGGTAAGTATCTATCCTTTTTATAAAAGTGTCCATACGTTTAACATATCAAGTAAATTTTACCGGTTTTGTCATAATGAATCTGGTTTGTCATATTTTTACTTGTTTATTGTAATTATCTATCCTTTTTATAAAAGTGTCCATACTTATTTCACTGTGAAAATATATTTATTATTATCTTTAGTTAATATTGTTAAATTTAAAATCTAAATAATATTTTATAAAATATCAAACAATCAAATAATTTTTGTGTAAATGAAATTATTAAATTAATATTGTAGTGGAAAACATGAAACACTATTAAAAATTTGAAACATAAATTATATAACTTTCAAAAAAGTATATATCATTTTTATAAAAGTGTCCTACTATTTCACTGTTGAAAACATTTATTATTATTTGGTTAATATTGTTAAATTTAAATGCTAAATAATATTTTATAAAATATCAAAACAATCAAATAAAAATTTGTGTAATTAAATTATTAAATTAATATTGTAGGTGGGAAACATGAAACACTATTAAATAAATTGAAACATAAATTACATAACTTTAAAAGCAGTTTTAAATCCTAAAACAGTGTCGATACTTTTAAAAATATATCGATCCAAAACGATATACCAGGTAAAAATATGATAAAACGGTAACAAAATGATTAAAACCGGTAAATTTAAAAGTGTCGATACGTATATAGGATCGACACTTGTGAATTTAAAAGAGAAGCAGTTATAGCGCCTATAATGTGTCGATACTTTAAAAAAAAATATCGATCCACACGATATAACAGGTAAAAATATGATAAACAGGTATCAAAATGATAAAAAACGTAAAATGATACCGGATATTGAAAGTGTCGATACTTTCGTAAGTACGTGTAATAAATTATCGACACTTTCAAAGAAATAGGTAATTATCCTTTCGAAAGTATCGACACCTGACATAAAAGTATCGACACTTTTGTATTTGTATCGATTAAATATAAATAACATATCCGATGAAAATATAAGCTAAATATCCTCTGAAAATAGATAGAACGGACGAGTTTTGAAATCGAAGAGTAATTGTGCTGCATTTCAGAAGGCGTTTCTAAAGCGAAGTTTGTTTGTTTGTTGCTGCAGTCGAATCGAAAAGTATGTTGTCGAAACCCTAATTTTATTATTACAGTAATCGCGATAGGGTTTTTTTATGTGTTGTTTGGGGTTTTGGAGTAAGGAAGCATTTGAGACCGATTGCAGGTAGAATAGATATCAAGGAAAAATATAAATGTCGATACTTTTATTAAATATATAGGTAGAAATGATATTAGGTTGTATAATGTGCCGACATTTTGGTGTGGCCATTCAAATTCTTTGAAGAAAACGTTTTACCACAAGAGTAGTTATCTATATTTGTATATTGAAAAGGTATGTAACAAAATAATTTGATTTGCGTAAACTGATATATGAAGGAAAAATGGAGTCAATGGGTTGGAAAATTGTTGGTGGAGCAGATGACTTTGAAATTGAGGCCGAGACTCGAAAGCAACCAAAGGGTGGGGTTGTATAAATGTGCCGACCATTTTGGTGTGGCCATTCAAATTCTTTTGAAGAAAAACTGTTTTACCACAAGAGTAGTTATCTATATTTTATATTGAAAAGGTATGTAACACAATAATTTGATTTGCGTAAACTGATATATGAAGGAAAAATGGAGTCAATGGGTTGGAAATTGTGGTGGAGCAGATGACTTTGAAATTGAGGCCGAGACTCGAAAGCAACCAAAGGGTGGATATGTACTTCTAGTAGTATCAATGTCTTTTTGTTATTATTGTTGAAATGGTAATTGGATTAAAGTATCGATAAACTTTAATTGATTACAAATTTTAAATGTTAACAGTATGGCCGAATGCAAAAGGATGAAGGGAGATGGCACACAGAGCGGTTCGGTATGTAAAATGAATTGACATTGAGTAGTATTAGTATTTAGTGTTAATGTATTGATTAAGAAACGTTTATGTTTAAATTAGGTGAAAAAAGAGAGGTCCAATGGAATTCAATGAGTGATGCTGAAAAGGAACCTTACATCACACAGTCAAGGAATGATAGTAAAGAATACAAAGAACGGAGGAAAGCACATGAAAATAAGGTATTCATTAAACTTGTAAATACGTTGATACAAAATAATAAGAACTATAACATTATATATGTTAAAAAATGTAGGAAGTGTCGACAAGATGCAGCATTAAAAGGGTGAATTTATTAATTAAACACCTTAAGGAGAAGGGTCAGTTGAATGTGCTGGGAGAAATAGGTTTTGGATTGTGATCGGAGTAAGGGATCGACCTATTCGGAGGGAATTGTGTCGATCCTTGATGGCACAATTTGACGTCAGTCAATGTATGGCTAAGTATGGTGATTATTCATTCCCTCTGGGGGTATCGACTGCTGCAGCCGTATTGGGGGTACAAACAAAGGCAAAAGTGGATAGAAGTCTGTAGGAGTAAGAACTGGAAAGCATGCCTCCAAATATGGTTTGAATCATAAGGGACATATATGAAGTTGAAGAGGATATCAAAAGTGGATCTTACTTGGGGGATGAGCTGAAGGCCGAGTTCTATTGTACCTTGTCGGTATATTCTTTGTCCAACGGGTGACGTCAACGAACAAGAATATATGAAGCTCATTTGCGATGAAGGCTTGAAGGGGAATTCAATTGGGCTGAATATCCATTCGAGATTGATTGAATCAATTATCACCTTTAAAAAGGGCAGCCAGAGATACCTCAAAGGGTGCATAGCATCTTAGAGGTAAATGAGTTGAATCACTTTTTTGTGTTTTTATATAAAAATTCTAATTTTATTATAAATGCAGGTTGCACTGTTCGATTTTTGGTCGGGCTGTGAGGCAGTGCCGGCTTATGAAAGAACCGGAGTGGCACGCATCCGTGCATGGGGGAAGGAAGAGGTGGTTAGAGTGATGGTGAAGTGAAGTTGGATAGAGGGAAGAAGCAGAAATGGTAATAATGTAATTAAATAATATTAAGAATATAAATCAATGTCTTAAATTGTAATTTAATTTTTGAAGGTTATTGGCAAGGATGTAGAGGAGGCAGTTGTCGAAGAGAAACTTGATCAAGTCGTAGAGAAACTCGAGAGGCATAAGGGGGTGGTAGTGGAAGGAAAATAGATGGAGTGGTGAAAGAAGTAGAGGTGTTGAGGGGTGAAGTGGTGAAAGAAGTTTCGGTGTTAAGGGGTGATATAAGATGGTGACGGGAGAAAAATTGAGGGAGTGGTGAAGGAGGTTGTTGATTTGAGGAGTGAACTTACGGGGGTGAAGGGGGTGGTTGATAAATACTCGGATGAGGAGCTCAATTAAGTGAAATAAAAGATATGAAGAGCTATGTAGAAAAAAAGTACGATGAATGAAAAAAATATGAAGAAGAAAGAGGGAGGAGGAAGAAGAAGAGATGGAAGAAATGAGGAGGAAGGAAGTTGATGTCATTTATACCGGAGAGTGTATAGCAGCAGTTTTG